TATTAGAACAATTTTCATATATAAATCTAATATATATCCCAAGTCGCGCTTTCGAGACATGAAAAGCGTAATATGAATTTTGTGAATCGACCCAGTAAAACGGAAGATATACTCGCGAAACCCTAGAATTTGATTTGCGGAATCTTGGGGTTCCGCGGTACACAGTTTGAAGACCTCTGCATTATACCAAGTGAACTTTCCGTGCTCCAAAACTGTAAAATGTCAAATGTGGCAACAAAAATGAAATAAACTTGTTTATCACACAAGTAGAATATAGCAATTTACATACGGTAATATACAAGTAATATACATATAGTCTTTCTATAATTGAACATTTATGATACAATAAATCTACTGAGAATCTCCATCATCAGCTACTGAGAAACCTGTATTACGTGTCTCTCATTCATCATCAGCCATTAAGAGACTTCCATTATGTGTCTCTCATTCATCATCAGACATTAAAAGCTGTGCCTTACTTGCCTTACGTCTCTCTTATTCATCATCAGCTATTAAAAGACTTGTAATTTGTCTCTCTCATTTATCTTCAGCCACTAAAGGATTTGCATTACGTCTGTCTCAGTCACCATCAGCCATTTAAGGACTTATATTCTGTCTATCTCATTCATCGTTAGCCTTTAAAAGAATATTTCCACGTCGACCGGGAATAAGAAAGAAATAAGAAATCAATTATAAATCTCTTAAAAAACCTCCTTTTGTCAAAAGCTTCTTCAATATTCTTCAGCAAGGGATTTTACTTTCTTTAGATTTTATAAATTTAGGAACATTTGCTAAAATTTAACACAAATAAGTATCTAAAATGCATAATAAGCAATCTAACTCTAAAATTAATATCTAGGTCGCAAAATCTATTAAATTAAAAATGTATAGAATTTTTATAGATAACAAATACGTAAATTAGAATACTACATATACAAAATACTTATGAAACAACTAATATATCTATGTCTAAAAGAATTAAATCACTGAAAGTGTAAAATTCATACATAAAGGGAATATATTAGTTTAGAGCTTTTGAAATGATTTTATCTATGACAATAACATAGAAATAGTAATAGGTTTTGAACCACTTTTTCAGATCGGATACTTTTTCTTGCAAACGCTTTTACGAAACATTTTTGCTGTGTGCTCTCCTTGACTTTAGGTAATGAGTTTTCATTAGTGCAATGATTTAAAAAAATAATTTATTTTGAAAATTCAAGTTTTGAATTGATTAATTAAGACACAATAACACGCCGAATAAATATTTAATTCAGAAGTCAAACAACAAAAATCAGCGTTAATTTACAAAATTAATTTTGTAAATTAACATTTAATTTTGTAAATTAACGCTGATTTTTGTTGTTTGACTTCTGAATTAGTTTGAATTGATTCTTTAATTCTTTCTATTCTTTAGTGAAAACTACGCATTTCTATATCGTTCTTTTTTTTCGGAAGAGTCTATCCATTTAATCCTGATTGAAATATCTAGGCCTCATTTTCTGTTCAATAAAGGTCACGAACAAGATCATTTAAGCCAAGATTACTATTTCGACTATCTATTGATAAATTCGAAAATAACACAAATTTCAGAATTTTTTATGGATATTATTTTTTTTCTCTATTCTAAGCCAAGCCTTACTTGATGGAAAATACATATTATCAAATTATTCCTTGTAATCAAATAATTTGTTCAGAAATTGTAAATCATTAACTTCCATAAAAATTCAACCAAATTGTTAAAATATTTTGAAAGATCAGGTTTCTTGTTATAATGTTTTGTTTTAAATGGAAATACATCGCAGAACTTACCGTCTGCATTTGAAAAACTTGTTCAACAAAATATATTAACAGCTCCATATCTGAAGTGAACATACAAGATATTATAAATTAAGAACAAGCTCTTCTATATATTTTATAATTCATGTTTTTAAAGATGGTAAAAGTATTCGAAATGTCCAAAAAATCCTTGATTTAAAGCGTTCATCTAGCTTTGATGTAATAAAACGATGAAAAGAACGTAGAACGTGGAACTGTTGAAAAGGCACCGAAGTCTGAATAACATTCTAAACTAACACTAAAGAATTGTAGATTTATTCTATAAAAAACCAAACAAGACCACAAAATTAGCACTGCAAAGTGTTCAGCATCTGATTTAAAAGAATGGTTTGCAATAAAAATTAACCTTGAAGCTTTTAGAAGAGTCACTGATATCACATAGATACGATTGGCGATCAGCAAGAAGGAAATTCTTCTTTAACCTTTTCGTCGTCCGTCACGCGACTAGCGCGTTCAAGTGAAACTTCCGCAGGGCGGCCGTAACGCGCTTCGAGGGTTCTTCTACATTAAAAAAATTTTAAACGTTTAAAACACTTTCTAAATGTTTACTTGTTTGAGTTTTAATTTTTGTTTGTTCTAATACCTCCTACAGGATAGCACTAATCAGTCATTCTATTTCTAATTGAATTTTCCCCGGGTTTTATGGCGCCATTTTACGTAAGATACAAGACAGTGAGAGATGGCTTCAACGTCTACTCAGAAGAAAAAGAGAAAAAATGAGGTTGCGAATTGGAAAGTCAAGAAGGATATACGTTTGATGAGTACAGTCCATAATAACTCGATGATTGATGTTGAAACACGGAAAAGAACTGTAAAAGAACCAATAATTGTAAAAGATTACAACAACAAAAATTGGAGAAGTGGACCGCCTGGATCACATGTTATCAAATTATCCTGCTGTTAGAAATAAGCAGATATATTATTATTTTTCCATTATGCTTTATTTCCTTAAAAAAATCATGTATGGAAAGTTATGATGTACAGAGAAAACAACATTATATGCTACGAAAAACAAACGGCCGTTGGGGGGGGGACATTTTCGCGTACAGGAGAGGACGGCGAAAGGGTTAACAAGGAAACAAGATAAGTACTCCTGGTGTTCTAAAAATCTATAGTAATCGAAGTTTTATCACATTCGGACAGAATTATATTTGCAGAAAAGACAAAATTTAATATATTTGGGTCCGATAAACGAATAATGATGTGCCAAAATCCGAATTAAGAACTGAATTTGAAAAGCCTGTTGCCTAATGTTACGCCACGGGATAGACACATAATGGTTTGTGGATGTTTCTTGCTTTTGGAATAAGAAATTTAATGTTTGTCAAAAATAATATGAATTAGTATAAATATACAAATATTCTTAATGAAAACCTGAAACTATCTGTAAGAAAAACTTGGAATGCAAAATATGTTCAATTTCTATCAGGATTTTGATTATTATACAACTCACCTGAAGTTATCAAAACTTCTTCATACATGGGGATCATATGTTCATACTTCTCACTGCATGGAGTGGGAAAAAATAAGTAAACATGACATTTCTTCGAAAGCTCTACTAAAAACGATTCTTATTTAGGAATTCCATTCCTATATAAGAATCGCTTTTCTTATGTAGGAATAGCACCTACTTAGACGCAAACACCAGTTGAATCCATGCCAAAGTGTGTTAAAAGTGTAATTATATCTAAAATATATCTAAAGAAATATTAAATGTCCTGTTATTTTCATGTTTTTATTAAACATAAACTGTTTACTTAAAATATGCAAATGCTTATGTAAGCTCATTTTCAGAATTTTTATTTATTTATCTATTTATTTTTTTTTATTTTTTTTTTTTTTTTTTTTTTTTTATCAAAAACGAGCCTCTGAGTGCAAACTTCTTTTCAAGCAAGCAAATTTTAAAACTGATGGTCAGTACTGAAAAGAAACACATTAAAGGGAAACTTAAAAATAGCAAACCTACAACCTTGTGTTTGGCATACATTTAGTCAAGATCTCAATCGATTTTTAGGGCAATCATGTACAGCTCCCTCTTCATCAAGAGCCAAGAAATCTGCAAGACTGAAACGTAGCAAGTGTCACGGTTATATTTATGCCCTACGGCAGTAAAGCGAACAAGAAGGTAGTGCCATCTGTTGGCAAAAATAGTAACGAAATTGAAAAATTAAGTTAATAGAATTTTAAAAGACTTAGGAAGAACTGGATTTAACTTAAATTCATTAATTAAACAAGATAAATATTTGTGAATATGAAAAGCTTCAAGAAAATCCAATTCTCCAGTCGAAGAAGGTTAAACTTACGTATTTGTCCTCGAAACTGATCTTGACTAATTTACGCCTAAGACAAAGTTTTTGTTTTGTTAATTGTATGATGATCAATAATTATATGTGAAAGACAAATAGTCGTTTTGCTAATGCTTAATTATGCAGATAAATCTGAAGAACAGAAGTCACCAGAAATAAATGTAAGGTACTCTATTACGTTGCAAAACATATGTTGCATAACAAAATATATGTTATTCTCGAACATTTACTTTATTTTTCTTGTTTTATATTTTTATTATAACATTATGAATACCGTAAAAGTTTGTTAAGTTCAAAATAACTGCAAGCTGAATAAGCTAAACTGCAATGATTTTCCTGTTTTCTAAACGCTTCTTTCCTCTCATCTGCTATTATATTCCGAAAAAAGGACCACTAATAACTTTCTAAAATTTGATAAAATTACCATAGTAGGCGGAAAATGTTTATTGTCTGTTACAAAGGCAAAAATCTTTCTTTGCGGAAGGAAACAATTAAAGGATTAAGCTCATTTTCGGAAATACTAATAGCACCATCCGAAATAACCGCACGGAACTGTTCTGTGAAAAAAAAAAGGCAAGGCCACCTCGCGCCATTTTTGTCTTCCATTTCTGTCTCCATTTTTGTTTGCAATTCCAGTCCTTTGTTTTCAAACACTGTGAGTTTTAGAATACGTGCAGCATGTTATTAAGATGCTATCTATTAAGCATTGGCGTGGTATTGGATTATTGATGATTACTAAAGGGAAAAAAAAAGTCAAGAAATAACCTTCTAAATTGAGGGAAAAAACAGAGTTTTTTTATTCTTTTTTTATTTTTCCGGCCTGTGTCAGGTATCGTTTGGATGAAGGGGTGATTCTTACGCTCTGATGAATATACTCGGAAAAAGGAAACAGATTCAGCAGACTAAAACTCTCACCGTATAAATACATGAGCGCCCTTTGAGTGGAATCATTCACTTCTCAAATTTCATCTTTCTTTACGATAACGAGCTCGCAGTAAGTATTTAAACCTCTCGTCTTTTCTAACTGTAGACAGATTCCTTTTTCTCTGCTTTTTCTTTCAAATTCTAATAGGCAAGTTTTGTCTTAATATTTTAAAATCTTTTTTTTTTCTTTATTTATTCCTAATCTCTATCATTTACAAATGAGAAAAGTTAATTTTTTATTTTAATGGCTGTTAAAAGAAAGTTAAGATTTTTTTACTACATTCTTAGCAGATTTTTTATAGAGTTATAATATATCTCCTGTTAATGTCCTGCGGACAATAATAGACTTGGAGCAAGTTATACCTTAGTCTGAAACCAATAACAAAGCCTAAAGAACGTTAAAATATTTTTTATTAAGGAACAAAGCCTTAAATATAAAGAAAGGCGTTGCTTATGCAAAAGACGAACTTCCACCACGTGTGGGTATTTAGTTTAACATAAAATAACGTTAAATTCAAACACAGATGACGAAGTCGGTGTCTGTATATAAAATAAACAATTTAAGCTGGCTCAAGATAGCTCACACCGGGTATTTAAACCACATTTAGCAAGATGCTGAAGTCGGAATAAAACTTGGCAAAGCTGGCTGCTCTTCTAAGTAACAGTAAGTCGGTACTACCAAAAACTATAAATATAAACATTCAAACCCTGAGTTTAAACACATAAGTAATTAATTTACATTCTGGTGAGGACCAAGAAAACAAGAAATTATAGTAAAGGTTTAAATCATAATTAATTGGTTAATTAACATAAAATACTTTATATCTTCATTTCTAAATTATGTGATCTCTAGCCACTAAGATTTAAATTTATTTATTTAAAATAACAAATCATATTTATGTTATAGTATAATGCTAAACTTGAATATAAATACAGATGTTTATGTTATAATTTTTTAGGTTTATATTCCTTAGGGAAGAAAATATTAAGTAATGTTTTTGAAAGAATAGCAAAAGATTTTTGTAATATTAAGATATTACTATTAGGTTATAATCACAAAATCATAAAAATAAATTCGTAATTATTTTTCAATATTCTCTTAGTAGGTTCTTAAACTGTTCTTTAAATTTCAGTTTTCAACTTAGATCTTTAACCACTCAGATTTAAATTTATTTATTAAAAATAACAAATCCGATTTGTGAAATCTATAAAAAAAACAAAACTATTAAAAATAACAAATTAGATCACCATGATTCTAATAACCATGATTCGCATTGAATATAAATGCGAAAGTTCATGCTAGAATTTCTACTTTTGTATTATTTAAAGGGCAAACATATTACGGAATGTTTTAGAAAAAATAACGTAAAATAAAAATATCACGTGAACGATAAGAATAAATTCTTTGGTCTAAAACTAAACCATGATAATCAAATGGTTTTCAAGCTTCGAAAGAAAAGACGATAATATTTTCCTTGCATTAGATTAATCAAGAAAGCGGATTTATTTGAAATAACGAAATAAATACTAGAATACACCTGTAAAATTATTAATTTCGTTTAGGAACATGTCTAACAAAACTTTTCAATAATACAGAATTAAAATATGTAACAAGAATCTATATATTTCGTTAAACTTTGGAATATTAAAATATAAGCATTAGATTTAGCGGATTAAAACAGACTTGTTTTTAAATTAAAAATAAGAACTTTTTAATTAAAATTTCATTTCATGATAAAATTCCTTGAATTAAAAAGCTCTTAAATGCATTTAAGAGGAAACGAAATAGTAGTAGTGATTAAATTAATATTTGCTAAGTAACTGTAAACTAATATTTTAACGCATTGCCTGGCGGGATATAAAAATTTTATTCGTGTGGTTTTTAGTGTATGGTTCTTTATCTGGATAAGAGTAATTGACAATTAATTTATACAAATGGGATTTCTTAAATCTTATGAAAGGACGTGAATAGAATACGGCATGTATATTACAGTACGCTATGAGATAAATGCAGTTTCGCACTCCATAGAATATTTTTGGCTATGATGTAAAACATAAATCGTAACGTCCGTGTTTCACAAATGATATCTGTATTTTTTATTATTTATAGTTTTTTGTAAAAATATCCCAATTATGCATTTGTGATGTAAAATGAATCTTTTTATAAGACAAAAATTTAATTTAAAATGCTTGGCAGGTAATTGTAAATCATCAGAAAATTACATTAGTCATTTTTTACATAAAGAACGGTATTCTGTTTACTTTAGTTACTAAAATTCAAAAAGTAAAAAAGGTGCAAAAAATAAGCATATTTTTCTGGCAGATATCAACATTAGAAATAAAATTACTACCTTCAGATTTGGTAGTTTACGAATTTATGATTTGCATGCATTCAGATATAATCCTGACAAATAAACATATAAATATAGATAAATTAACTAAAATTAATTAAAGATCTTATAAAATAATCCCGAAATTTGTGTTTTCGAAATAAAACACTAGTTTATAACAAGTAAACATTAATCGTAAATAAAATTTAAAGATGAGATTGAAAAATAAACTGAGGCGTATATAAAAGGAAATAGATGTATGCTTCTCTTGGCAATTTAAGGTACTTGATTTCTTGATTTTTACATGCTAAAATTTTTTAATTAGAGATACATTTTCACCATGTAAAACCATTATTTTTCAAAATTTCCTTTAGGTTCTTATTTATACATTACGTAAGTTTCTCATATGCTTAAAACTTGTCTAATTTTTTTTTAAATACAAGTCTTCTTAAAATAGTTATTTATATCTCTTTTTATATACGCATGTACATACAGACGGTGTTTACAATTTTAAAACGATTTAGATAAACTATTAAAACAAAAATGATTTGGAATAATAATTTCCGACGAAAGTTTTATATATGAAATGAAAAATATCGTTTGCTGCTTTAAAATTTATTCTTCTTTCAAAATGTAGCACGTAAAGAAGCAGCTGATTAAAGGATATGTTTTTGCGCTTTTCTAAGAGAAATATTTCTGTTTCATAATACAAATACGTACTGAAATACACTGTTTAAAATTGTCCAAGTAAAAAATAAGCAGCAATATTAATAGGAAAGGAAAAAACCGTTACTCATTACTTTCGCATAGAACGAAGACTCCAAACGAATACAAGAAAAGGGTACGTACGGTTTCTAATGTTTCTAAATTTAAGCAATTGGTTACAAGAGAAAATCCGCTGACGCAGAAACTTCTGTAGCAACAATCAATAAAATAATTAACCAAGATTTACACTTAAAAAAGCTAAAAATCATAATGTTCACCAGTCTTTTTCGAAGCCCATGGTTCAACGCAGAACTATTTGTAGGCCCCTCTATGAAAGCTATTTAGCAGGAGATAAATAATAAATACATTGTAGTGCTTGATGAAGCCTGAGTTTACTTAAATAAATGCAAAATGGTCGATTTACTATAGAAAACTAAACGAAAAATTGTACAAATTCTGGTTCCGTCAATGCAAAGAATATTTGAGTAAGATGCTTTATGACTTTCACATGTATCTCTTAGAATGGTGAATTAAAATTAGGAAAAGTGGAATAATGTCAAAATTAATGAAAAGTTCTGACAAAAGAATTTTTTACGTCCCGTATTTACAGAAAAAAAAAACCCATTTTTTTATCCCAGTGGCTTTCAAAGAGTGAAACTTCATCAAGACAAAGCAACAAGTAATACTTCGAAACTTACTGCTTCGTTCCCTGAAAAAAGTTAAGAAAGATACAAGTATTGTACATATACATTTACAACCTATTCCTGCGAAGTTTCCTGACATTTTGTCTGTGGACTATTGTGCAGATTAAATCTTGAAAAGAGCTCTTCCTAAGCGCAAACCCACCACGTTTGTGAGACTGTGCAAAGTAGTGGAAAAGGAATGGAAATCAATACCCCTGCAAACTTTATGAAAAGTCCTTCTACTTAAGAAATCACGATACAGACTTTTAGCCCAGAAAAACATCTATCAGACAGAACATTTCAAAAAATACGCTTTACGTTTTAAACATTAATTAAACGACCTCGAAATGGTTCTAAAAGTGTGTAAACGCCCTCTTTATATACTTCCAGATATCAGTTTCAGAAAAAGTTATTTTGTAATCTTAACATCTCTTCTTAATTAATATAAAACACGCGTATGTCATATTAACAAAATGAATTAAATTTATAATCTTTTTCTAACAACAAGAACTTAATACTATAAAAAAGTCGAAAAAAGGATAACGTAGAGAAGAAAGAATTCAAAAACAAAAATTAAGCGTCACATGTTTATAGCATCTCTTCAGTGGGTTTGTAATGCGCAAATATAAATAAAACAGAAATAGAGGAAATTTTAAAATAAAATATATTTTCATAAAATACTAAATATGTTAGATATTCATAACTGCACTTGTTTAAAATAACGCTTACATACTTTTCACTTCCTTAGTGGCAAATTAGTAAAAAAAAATGCTTTCAACAAGTAATGTTTCTTGAAAAACATTCCTTCTTTTGCCGCATATTTTTTGACGATTCTGAAATCTACGAAAAATGCTTCTTGTTTTTGAGAAATTTACAGTTCCATACATTTGTATTGTTTGGATTTACTTCTTTTAAAATAGGTTTCAGGAAATTAATGTTGTGGTTAGAAATGGTTAAATTATCAACGAAAAATAAAAAATGAAATAATTGTTTACGTTTCATTAAAAAGGAACTTTTTCACTGAAAAGAAATTTCAGCTAAATTGCTCATGAATTTAAGATGAAAAACTAAAACATATTTTATTTACATCATTATTCATTGGTTCTTCTCACGTTCCGAAATGTCTGCGAATCGAAATGTTGTGTATTGAGGCTAATTATCTTAAACCATGGTTTCGAGATCTATGCTTGACACTGACCAAGCCTAAAATGTTTCATAAAAATATTTCCATACTCGTTGAGATTTACTTTATCGTAACCATTTTAATTTATTCCTTGATCAGCATTTACTAATAAATAATCACGATTTTCGATTTTCAATCGGAATGTGAAGATAATAATAATAAAATATTCCATACCAAATTTTTTTAATTACGTTTATAATAATTGTGAAGTTAATACATTTGTTAAAATTTCTTGGCTTAAAATTTCCAAATCTTAGTAACATGCATTAATAGAGTGCAGGTGAGAATTTAGATGTAGTATTTTTCTGGACGTACTTACTTATCAGATATAAATAAAATAATATCATAAATAAAAATTATATAATGTGGACGCCACATGGTTTTTTTGTACAGCCCTATATATTATTTCCATTGTTTGCTGCACATTCTTTAAATTTATTTCCTCCAATTATTCCAACTTAAGTAATCAGTTCCTTAAGAAAAGTTAAAAATGACATCAAAGATTGCAGATTTTTAAATTAGACATCCTGGTCAGTTTTTGTCATAAGGATTAATTACTGTATTTTTATTCTTTCATAAAGAGTATAAAACTTCTCCAAGTATAGAAACTGGCGGACAGCATTAAAAGTTCGATTTCATTATTTTTCCGAAATTAATTTCGTTTAGCTTGGCATTGCAATAACATGAATATTTGCGTCAATTAAAACACTTCTGTAACTGAAAGTATACAATTGCGACCAGCGATTGCGAACGTAAAGTCCGGATAAGGACTTTTAAAACGAGTAAAGGGGTGATTATATATAGAAGAATAGATAAACTTTTGGACTACCCATTGCAGTAAAAAAGGGAGGTGCACAACTAGATGTTATAGCACTCTATATATATAATTTGAAACTTCTGCGGCTAATATTTATTTGAGTTATGAGAGATACTTACGTGCATACGTATGAACAGACGTCACAAAAAATATAGTTTGCATCCATTTTGGAATAAAGGTTCCTTTATTCTGTCCGCATATGGTGATGTTAAATATTCAAAATAGATTCGGAAACTGTCAAAATGATATTTCCGTTGAAATTTGATGACCAAATTTTTGCTAATACGATACTTCACTTCGTGATGGAAGTAATAATTAAGTAGAGAGGTTTAAAAAGAAATTAACGTACATTTGTTCAGGTTTTTAAATCATTGTTGCAAAATCTCGAGGTGTGTACATAGTATACCCATTTATTCTAGAAAAATGCGTATCAGGTTTACTTTTCATGACTTTAGAAAACTTATTTTAACCTTACCTTTATCTTTAAACGAATAGAGAATATTTGTTAAATTATTTTAACCTTAGTTGCATTTCACATTACACAATTTCATATTACTAAATTTCTATTGCGCTTTTTTCCATTTTATATGGATTTTAGACTTCATGTTTCATCAAAAAATGTTTTAAGTATTGCCTTCCATTTTACTTGACGTACATTATTTTTCTTTCTACTTTTAGAAAATAGCTTAAAATTTTAGCTCGATTAACTAACTTATATCTAAGGACTCAGTAGTTACAAGCGATGATAATAATAATTGTTAATGATAATAATAATTGTTAATGATAATAATAATTGTTAATAATGATAATTCTTATCATACTAATAAATACTACATTTTATGTGCACTTATAATTTACCTAACATTTGTACGAAATGTGAAATTTTATCAATCCTCATATCACATTTACGAGAACATCAGGGACTCTCAATCAGAGAATTCCCCTGGAAAGGCAATTTCATAGCTATCATGGGGAATGCTGCCAGCCTTTTATTTGCCTGTTAAATTATTTTATGAACTTAAAGACTATTTTCTTGAAGTTTTGTTATTAGCAATGTTTTCTATATTTTTTTCCTGTTTAATTTATAAAACACATTAAAAATAAGATAAATTTAAACGAATGTATCAATATTTCAGGAATTTGGGAAAGGAGAAGAGGAATGATCGTTTAGTAGTGGTAAAAGTAGTGCAGAGCACAAAAAAAGGTATAGAATCGGCTGATCTATATCTATCTCTTCTCACACAGTAATCATTTCAGAGAACAGATGCTAGATAGAAACGCGCGTTTTGTTCTGTTTGAATACGGCAAAATTATACGGGTATTATTAAGTAAATATATTCGAATATGGCAAAGCCACAATGGCTACTGCTTGACAGGAGGGTTGCCTTTGTGGAGGACTTCCAAAATAAAATGATTCAGTTTACATATAAAATTGGGAAAACTTCGAACATCAAACCTGCAGCCAGTGTATTCATCTGGTTTCGAACCCAAATCAGGTCAAATTAGTCGTATTCAACGGTCTTAAACCCTCGGCCACCGGGGAGAAGCTATCTACCAAAGGGTATCTTTGTGGAAGATTTCCTGAGACAATTTTACTGGCATTTGCACTATACACGAGTAAAATGACAATAGCATTCATGCAACCAATCCTTTCTTCAGCGCTCGAAACCGAATCCGAATGTCAGTATTGAATGTTTTAGCAACTCGATCACTAGCGAGTAACATCCGCAATAGGAAAAACCCTCAGCTACTACCATATTCAACCCCCTCCCAACAATTTCAAAACAAATGTTAGTTTTAATGTTTATACGCTTTAGCGCAATTTTGTAATTTATATTAAAAAAATTCATATTATGTACAGTAATGGTCAACATTTTTTACAGTTTTCACCTACGAAAAGTATTGAAATATTCATGCAACACATATAAAAATATCAATATGCAAAATTCAAAACATATATGCTTTCTGTTCAAATCATAATCTAATTTCTGAAACACAGCAGTTCTTGAATTTATCGTATTCAATGGTGTGTGGCACAAAATACTGAGAAAAATGTTAAATCCAATAACGTCTTTATATTTTTCGTATAATCTTAATGACGAAATAAAAAATACAAAAAAATTACGTTCAAGCAAAATTTTGCGTATAAAGTTCGCTCCGCATTAAAAAAATTTCGAATTTTTTAATTTCAAAAGCCTTAGCAGGTTTAATTTAAGACCGCTCATTATATACTTTTCAAACTGACTAGTTGTTTAAAATTTTGAATTAGAGTTTTATCTGTCTTATTCTCATTTCTTTTCAGATCGAATTCTCAGAAATGGTTGCTTCAAGGAAATTAACTGCTTTTCTATTGGTCCTCGTTTTGGGTCTTCTTGTTCCTGGACCTCAGATGAACGGCGTTGAAGCTGGTCATCACGGTCATGGTGGAGGAAGCGGAATTGAAGCCCTGTTGGCAGCAGGTATCCTTGCCAAACTTCTCGGACATCATCACCACCATGGTCATCATCATCACCATCATGGACATCACCACGGATGGGCATGATGACAAAAACGAATTGATTTCAATGCATGATCATGCACATTTATCTATTTATGTGTAAATATGTGGTGTAAATAACTTCTCATCTGTCATTATCACACAAAATAAAATCACGATTCAGTTGCAAAATTCTGTTTTCAGTTATTGTTGTGATTTACATAAAACTCTCGGCAAAAATTTCTCTCTGTGTTGTGACTTTTAAAATCTTTCAATTATGCGATTCAGAAAATTTAAATTAAAATCTAGGTAAAACTCCCATTTTCGAAATTTTTAAATTAAGACCGTTTCAGAATTCTATAAATTTCAATTGTTTATATGCATTTAAGGGTAAATAAACCTCGGTATCTGAATACACTATGCTGTGGAAATAACAGAAAAATGATAAATAGTGAAATATACTTTTCTCATGAATGTCCAGATTAAACAAAACTTTAAGGTAGAAGTACTAATTTTAGTTATCAGTACTTTGAAATATTTTTGTAAAACTATCATGTAAGAATCAAAGAAATTTCTCCTGTGTTTTCCTTTGGTATAATTGACTTGAAATCGCTTCGGAACTGATATCTTCAATGCGAAGCCTTAAATTATAATAATATTTTTTGATAATGAAGCTGAGAAATTTACTCTTAACCTTGAGCCTCTAATTTGATGATGGGAAAATTGTTGTAAAATAACCAAACACGAGAAGGTATTAGTAAAACATGTTGAAACTTTCTTAATATACCCATAAAGGCTTCATGCATCAGTATGAGTAATAGTTTTTTTTATGCCTACTAGTACTTTTCAGTAGTACATTTTCAGAGTTTTATTTAGGCCTTACTAATTTGTAATATTCTAGCTAACATAAAATTATTTGACTGCTAGAAACTAGTGGAACTCTGTAGTGACTATTCGCTAAGTTCTTGTTACGTAAATAACAACTCCAAAGAAGGATTAAAACACCCTTTTATTTTACTTTAATTCATACACCTTAAGCCCCTCATGTTCTTCGAATATGTGACTGTTGCAAGAATTGTGATATTTTATTTATTTTAAAAGCAATTACTTCGAACTTTTTACAGCTGACTACATAATATAGCTGCTTTGGGAAAAAATAAACAGAAAGTTTGTGTTTCCACAAATATTTTTGTAATTTAATCCTCTTTGTGACAAAATATTTCGCCATGTTTCCACCTTGCGCGCATGATATTTTAAAAATGGCTGATGGTACATACTTGAAATTAGACGGAAATCTTTATATGAAATATGGGCACTATTTTCTAATTGAACCAACAATCTGATGAATATTTTAATACTGAAAAATTTTATCGACGAAAACATAAAAAATTTTGTTAATAAAATAAATTTTATAAACTTAACTCAAAATAAAATAAAAATTTAACATGAAATTTTTAGAATTTTAAGTTCACAGTAGTTTCCAAATGTTATAAAAGCTATATATTAAATATGGAATTAAATTATGCAACAGAAGGTTTTAAACTGTGCGCGCAAGTTGGAAACATGACGAAAAATGTTGTCACAAAGCGAATTAAATTATAAAAATATTTGTGGCAACACAAACTTTCTGATTACTATTTCAGAAAAATTGGTAGTAATTGCTTTTAAAATAAATAAGTTATCTCAATTCTTGCAACAGTCACCTATTCGAATATCTTATGGATTTTAAGGTGTATGAGTCCCCTTAAGATATTCACAGACTTGGCGTACAGAATGCCAACGATTTTGGTTTGAACTTAAAATAGAAAATGTAAAGTTAAACTAATGCTAATAGAATAAATAGCCTCAGCTGCACATAGTTGTTAACAGTAGTTGGCTTTTATCAAAAAATCATCGGCGTAGACAAACAAATACGTGGTAAGCACGGTCGTAAACCATGGACCTTATAAGAAATAAACCAACCCAAATGGGTTTTCTCCCTCGTTTGACGCGTTCCCGGCTGTCACCTTGACCACATCCGGAGGAGTAGGGACGACTTGCAGAAATTTAACAGTGGTTGCCTATTGCAGCGTGTATAATTGTCAAGAAAAAGCTGGTTGTAGCGCCTCATTTCACAAATTAGAATTTCTACATATTTTTATTTTTGAAACTGAGATTTTTTTTTTTTTAATTTAGCATATTTATCAAGCATAATTAGCGTTCAAAATAATTATAAAGCTATTGCATGCTTTTAAGGCTGGATATTTTTTTAGCTTTTCCTATGCTGTTAGGAAATTTGTAACTACTTCTTTTAGAAAATAATATTTTAAATCCGAACTAATAGAAAATTTCAAACAAGCAATTTTTATGCTTTTTGTTAGTGTAAATAAGTAAAAAATACGTACTAAAATATTTAAAAACGAATTTTTGAAAGTTTTGTTTAAAATTCTAAATTGTGCTGATTTTTTAAAATTATAGATGAGTATTATAGCACAATTTCTATTTCATAATACATCATAGTCATCATAGTAATAAACACTTTTGACTCCTTAATTTTTATATATTTAATTCTAATATTAAAATTGTACGAGTATGTAACCGTAATAATTTTGCTTGTATTTTATAGTCATTTTTTTTTTAATTTATTTTTAGTTCTGGCATAAGATTTTTCTTTATTTACTGTTAATTTAATTTATTAGTTCGAA